AGACCAAGGCAGGCAGATCACTTGAAGCTAGGAGCTCAAGACCAGCTTGGTCAACATGGTGAAGCCCCGTCTCTACTTGAAGTACAAAAATTAGTCAGGTGTGGTGGTACACGCCTGTAATCCCAGCTACTCAGGAGGCTGAGGCACGAGAATCGCTTGAACCCAGGAGGTAAAGGCTGCAGAGAGTCGAGATCGCACCACTGCACTCCAGTCTGGGAAACAGAGTGAAACACTGTCTCAAAAAAAAAAAAAAAAAAAAAAAAAGTTTTTTGGAGACCACTGCTTTGACCTTCACCAAGACACTTGAAAAGTCAACTAAACTGGATGAAAGCACTGTTGGAAAAAATATATACGTAGTGTACCAAACTGTCCCATACATGTTTCTATAAGGGAATACTCAGCATTGTAAATATCTCATTTCTCCCAAACATTTCTAAACATTTTATATTAATTCTAGTAAAAATTTCCATGGATTCTGTTTTGGAACTTGGTAAATGATTATAAAGTTTATCTGAGCAAATAAATATGCAGAAATTGCCAAAATACATATTGAGACGGAGTTCTGCTGTTGCCCAGGCTGGAGTGCAATGGCGTGATCTCGGCTCACCGCAACCTCTGCCTCCCAGGTTCAAGCGATTCTCCTGCCTCAGCCTCCCTAGAGTAGCTGGGATTACAGGCTTGTGCCACTACGCCCGGCTAATTTTGTATTTTTAGTAGAGATGAGGTTTCTCCATGTTGATCAGGCTGGTCTCAAACTCCTGACCTCAGGTGATCCGCCCGCCTTGGCCTCCCAAAGTGCTGGGGTTACAGGCGTGAGCCACTGCACCCGGCAACTATCTAATTTTAAAAAAAATTGTCAAGTCTCTCTCACACCATAAGAAAAAGATATAATATTTTTAAATACTAGCAGAAAGAATTTTAAAAAATTTACAATCTTGAGACGGGGAAGGTTTTTCTAAGCATGATGGAAAAACCCAGAAGGCATAAAAGAAAGTTGACAATATAAAAATGGAAAATTCCTGCACAGCAAAAGACATCATACCAGATACACAATAATGAGAAAATATCAGATACACAATAATGAGAAGATATCTGCAGCATATATGACAACAGATTAATAAATACCCATAATCAGCCAGACGCAGTGGCTCACGCCTATAATCCCAGCACTCTGGGAGGCCAAGGTGGGCAGACTGCTTGAGCTCAGGGTCAAGACCAGCCTGGGCAACATGGCAAAACCCCATCTCTACAAAAAAATTTTTTTAAATTAGCCAGGTGTGGTGGCACACGCCTATGGTCCCAGCTACTCAGGAGGTTGAGATGGGAGGATTTTGTGAGCCCAGGAGGTTGAAGCTGCAGTGAGCTGAGATGGTGCCACTGCACTCCAGTCTGGGCAACAGAGCAAGACCCTATCTCAAAAACAAAAACAAGAAAACCCGATAATCTATAAATAATCCCTTCATAGCAAGATTAAATAGATGGTGAAAGAACACAGAAAGACAAATTACACAAAATAAATGCAAATAGCCAATAAACTCCTGATATATTGTCCTCACCTCACTAACAAAGAATGCACACTAGATAATCATGTATTATTTGTCACCTAAGATTGGCAAAGGTTTAAAATGCTAATTGTTGGCAAGGGCATGGAGAAATAAGTGCCATAATACCCACTGGTGGAAAAGAAAAACAACAGAATCTTTAACCTTTTTGGAATGTAGCTTGCCAATGTTTATCACAATTTAGAATATGAGTTATAGGGCTGGGCGTGGTGGCTCAGGCCTGTAATTCCAGTACTTTGGAAGGCTGAGGCGGGTGGATCACTTGAGGTCAGGAGTTTGAGACCAGCCTAGCCAACATGGTAAAATCCCATCTCTACTAAAAAGACAAAAATTAGCCAGGTGTGGTGGCGGGCTCCTCTAATCCCAGCTTCTTGGGAGGCTGAGGCAGGAGAATCACTTGAAGCTGGGAGATGGAGGTTGCAGTGAGCCGAGATCGCGCCACTGCACGCCAGCCTGGGTGACAAAGCTAGACTCCACCTCAAAAAATTAAATAAAATGAACATTGTATATCAGACAGGAAAAAGCCAGTAATACAGAAGAACTCACACCCTCGGGATCCCAAGAAAAGATACTTCCATGGGAAGGATGTAATGAACAGTGTTAATGACTTCTGGTGCAGTGCTTCTCAAAGTGTGATGGACATATAAATGAACTGGGGGGCATATTAAAATGCAGATTTTGGCTACACAGGTCTTGGGTAGGACCTGAGACCCGGCATGTCTCAGATGACCCCAGGTGATGCCCATGCTGCATAACCCACAGACCACATGCTGAGTAACAAGGTTCTGCTGTGGTTCCCTAACTTTTCTGAGAACAGAATTATCTGGAAAACTTCTGTATTAGTCCATACAGCTATACATACTGCTCTGAAGAATACTGCTATAAAGAATGCCCGAGACCGGGTAATTTAAAGGAAAGTTGTTTAACTGACTCACAGTTCAGCATGGCTGGGGAGGCCTCAGGAAACTTACAATCATGGCAGAAGGCAAAGGGGGAAGCAAGGCACTTTCTTCACAAGGAGGCAGGAAGAAGTGCTGAGTGAGGAGGCAAGAGCCCCTTATACAACCATCACATCTCGTGAGAACTCACTATCACGAGAACAGCATGGGGGAAGCTGCCTCCATAATTGAATTACCTCCACCTGGTCTCTCACTTGAAAGGTGGGGATTATGGGAATTACAATTCAAGATGACATTTGGGTGGGGACATAAAGCCTAATCATATCAACTTCTTATAAGGATTAGTGGTCCCCTAGCCCTACAGATTCTAAATTCAGTAGGCGTGGGGTAGGACCTGACAACGTGCATTTTTTTTTTTTTTATTATACTTTAAGTTCTAGGGTACATGTGCACATCGTACAGGTTTGTTACATACGTATACATGTGCCATGTAGGTGTGCTGCACCCATTAACTCGTCATTTACATTAGGTATATCTCCTAATGCTATCCCTCCCTAATGCTATCCCTCTCCCCTCCCCCACCCCACAATAGGCCCTGTGTGTGACATTCCCCTTCCTGTGTCCAAGTATTCTCATTGTTCAATTCCCACCATGAGTGAGAACATGCAGTGTTTGGTTTTCTGTTCTTGAAATAGTTTGCTAAGAATGACGGTTTCCAATAACGTGCATTTAACCTCCCAAGCGATGGTGACAGTGACGCTGCAGATCCCCAGACCACACTTTTGAGATGCACAGCACAACTATTTCTGGCCCTGGCAGAGACAACCAGGGAGACCATTCAGGCTTCTAAACCTACTGCAAACCAGAAGTCTTCCTCTACACCACCACTGCAGTCACAGTCCATTACTGGAACCCATTCCTTTTACATTTCGTCTCTGGCTCCTGGCTCATATGGCCAGAAGTGTGAGCGAGGACCTACACTCATTACCCATCACCTCCATGGTTACTTTATCAGAACCAAAGACTAATTCTTAATTGGCTTATTCTCCCCAAGACTTACTCTCAGCAGTAGGTCCTACTTAGGAAAAGTCTCAAAGCTTTATCTTGCTTAGGAACGTCCTTTCATAGTATTAAAACAAGCAGCTGCTGCTGAATTCTACTTCTTTTTAACTAAGTGATGATGTTTCACAACGGTCACATTTCCCCCAGAGTGAAACAACTTAAGAGAAAAAAAAAAAAACCTATACAGTAAGAGGGAAATCCTATTTAAGGGGAACTCAATTCACCTATGTATTCATGAAGCAGACAAATGTACATAAAGTCACCTTAACATGAAAGATGATAAACATACAGTCCTTGCCCTCAAGCCACGTGACAGAAAAGCTACCAACAATCAGGCTGAAACAAGACAAATGTCATCTGAAGAAACAGCTGACATTTGTTTCTATCAAAGTCATTCAGCAGATACCTAATGTGTGCTCTTTACTAACAACCGACACACAAAGGAGGACGATCTCCAGCAGAGGTGACTAGGAAAGGCTTCCTGGATGGAGTAATTTAGTGTTGGAGTCAGACCAATGAGCCGCCTTTTCAAGGGTGGAGGTCCCAGATGGCCATTCCTTTAACAAAAATCAATTAACATGTAAAGTATGTGCTGACAAATAAAACGTTTGATGGGCCCGGTGCAGTGGCTTAAGCCTGTAATCCCAACATTTTGAGAGGCTGAGGCACGCCTGCCTGAACTCAGGAGTTTTAGACCAGACTGGGCAACACGAGACCCCATCTCTACAAAAATTAAAACGAATCTCAGCTACTCATGAGGCTGAGGAAGCAGGGTCACTTGGGTGCAGGGGACTAAGGTTGCAGTGAGCTATGACCACACCGCGGTACTCCAACCTGGACGACAAAGCAAGACCTCCGTGTCTAGGAAAATTTAAAAATTAGCCAGGCATAGTAGTGCGAGCCTGTGGTCCCAGCTACTCGGGAGGCTGAGGTGGGATTGCTTGAGCCCAGGAGGTCGAGGTTGCAGTGAGCCGTGATAGAACCATTGCACTCCAGCCTGGGCGACAGAGTGAGAGCCTCATCTCTAAAAAATAATTTGAAAAAAGGTTCCATTTAGTGTTTTTCGTGGTGTGACTAAGAAAGGTATCTAGAAATAAAGCACAGTCACTACCTGCTCTCAAAAAGCGGCTGCCAATCTAGTTTGGAGACAGAAAAATATACCCGAGTAAGAACACGGAGGAGCCTATTTTCGGAAAAGGGGCGTCTTTGGAGACGAAAAACCCTCTCTGTGGGACGCTGACGGGCAGTCGTTAAAGGACTTCCAAGCACTCGTCAGTGGCAATCGGGCAGAGGCTTTGCCAAGGCTTGGAGGCGGCGCGCCAGGCCGGGCAACGCGGAAAGCGGGGCAGGCCCGAGTGGCCCTATTGCTGGCGTCCCTACCGATCCCTGCGCATCCGCCACAGAGCAGGGGACCGCAGGAAGGAGGAAGGAGGGGAAGTCCCGTAAATCAGGCCCTCAGGGGCTCCCAGGCCCGCACCCTTCTCAAGCCCCGGAGGCCACCGCTGAGCCGCTGCTCTGGGCCGTGCGGCTCGAGGCGACCCTTCCGCGGAGCCGCCGGGCCCTCCTCTCCCGAGCCCAAGCTCTAGCTCTGGCCTGAGGTGACCGGCGCCTGCGTGCGCAAACACAGGATTCGCACCCCGCTCCCCACGAGAACGGTTCCGCCGCGGCGCTCAGAGTCTCCGGAACAGACCGGACTCAAGGCAGGCCAGGCAAGCGGAAGTGTGCCGCTTCCTTCCGGCCAGCGCCGCACGAGACGGGGCGGGGACCCGTGGAAGGAGGCGGGGACTCGTGTTGACGAACAGCTCCTGAGGCCTATGGGCGCGGCCGCAGCCGCCCGGCCTCTCCGGCGCGCCCCCTCCCCGGGGCTGTCGACGCCCCCCAGCCCCTCATTTCCACAAAGCTCAGCGGCGGCTCTGCTCTCCTTGTCCCCGCGGCGCGCTGCGGCCCGTGGCGCTGCCCCGCTCCCGCCTAGCCCAGTCAGCCTCCTTCCCCTCCCGGAGCCGCGCGTGAGGACCGCTGAGACCGCAGGTCTGTGGCGGCGCGCGGGGACGCGCGGGGGAGGGTCCCCCGAGAGGGCGGGCGGCCGCCGGCGGAACACACGGCTACAGCCTAGAGCCCCTCAGGCCGCACCGCCCCGCCGCGTGGCGCATTCGGGGGGCGCGGCCGCGGCGTCTGGGCGTCGGGAGGGGCGGAGCGCGGAAGTGTCAGCCGGGACGCGGGCCGGGCTGGACTCGGGAGGGACCAAGTTTGCGGAGCGACTTCTACGCGACGGCCGTGCGGCCAGGCAGGGCCTGGGCTGCGACCCCCAGGGCCGCTTGCCCGAACTTCCCGGCTGCCCCTGTCCTGGGAGATCTACCTGATGGGGACGCCAGGTGTGCAGGGGCGTGGCGCGTAGGTAAGCGGACCCGGTGCCTGCCTCACCCAGGGGATGCTCACTAGAGCGCTAGGCTTTTTAATTTTTTTTTTTAGAGACGGGGATCTCGCTTTCTGGCCCAGGCTGGAGTGCAGTGGCGCGATCACGGCTCACTGCAACATCGAATTCCTGGGCTCAAGCGATTCTCTCACCTCAGCCTCTGGAATAGCTGGGACCACAAGCATGCACCACCGCACCCGCCTAATTATTTTATTTTATTTTTTTATTTTTATTTTTATTTTTATTTTATTTATTGTATAGATAGGGTCTCGCTCTGTTGCCCAGGCTGGTCTCAAACTCTTGGTCAGAAGTGATCCTCCTGCCTCAACCTCCCAAAGCGCTGGAATTACATGAGCCGCCTCGCTCGGCCAGCACTAGTCGTCCTTATTAATAAAGAATCGAGTCTGGTCCCTTTTCGGTCGCTTAGGATGGCATTCCTTTTGATCTGATGGAGGAACTTTTTGTTTCATAGTTCATGGGACTATTGCAGTGCCTGACACATAATTGGTACTTAAATATGTGTTGGTTTTCTGCCTTACTATATCAGAATATATGAATTGTTTTAAAAAGCCCTTTCCCACTTAGAGAGGACTCTAGGATGAGGTCACGTGGGGGATAAGCCCATCTGTGGCTGTAGGACTTTGTTAAACACTCTCTCTGTTCCAGGTTCTCCATTTCCAGTGCTTGAAAGCGCAGTACTTAAATCTGGCTTCCTGCTTTTTTATTTTTTATTTTTGGTATGAATGAATACATGAATTGTATAATGTTAGTTGGTTTGTTCTGCAGAGCAAGTTACCCTTAGGAATTAATAAACTGTGGAAACAATCATGTCAGGCTACTAGTCACATTTGAGAAATAATTAGTAAGAGGCTGTTCATTATTCAGAGGAGTGAAGCAAGATGTTCTGGAGGACTGGAACCCGCTTACTCACTGCCACCACTCCCCCGCCTCCCACTTACTGCTGCCAAACCAGGCTCCTGCTCCCCGCGGTTACTCCCACCGACGCTCCCTGGGATGGCAGCTGCCCTGATTGGCACACCCCCGCAGTCATCACCACTGAGGCATATTCCTGAAGCTGCCAGTGTGAATTGTTTTATAGAACACTGGTGTTAAAATTCAGGTACCTGAGACAAAACAATATTTTAGTTCTTCAAAATCCGGTTGTCAACACATTTACTATGGAGTATCTCCCACGTGGCCACTTCTGTGGGAGGTACTGAAGACCTACTACCGCCTATGGAAGTAGAAAATAATATACAACTGTGTAATTACGTGACGCATTGCATGGTAACTGCTATGGCTCAGGGAGGGAGAAGATCAGCCGGAACTGGAATGTCCCAAGATGTTCTGGAAGAACAGTGTCGTGTGTGTGTGTTGCTCACCTGTATTCCTGACTCCTGGCAGGGCCTGCTGTAGAGCACATGCTTCATGAATAAATATGATTGAGTCAAATAAATATTTATGTTTTGAGTGTAGCTTTGAAGGCCAGCAACGATTTAGATGGCAAGATCGAGGGCAGGCTGGGCAGAATGGCTCATGCATGTAATCCTACAACTTTGGGAGGCCAGGGCGGGGAGGATCACATGAGGCCAGGAGTTCACTACCAGCCTGGGCAAGATAGGAAGACCCCATCTTTACAAAAAATAATTAGCCTGGTGTGGTAGCACATTCCTGTAGCCCAGATACTTGGGAGGCTGAGTTGGGAGGATCACCTGAGCCTGGGGAAGTAGAGGCTCCAGTGAGCCATGATGATGCCACCGCACTCCAGCCTTGGTCACAGTGAGACCCTGTCTTAGGGGGAAGAAAAAAAAAGATGGGAGGGCATGCGAATCGAGGGAAAATGGCATTAGTAAAGGCATTTCAGCCTGGATGAGCACGGGGTGTGTTGGGGAGAAGGTACTGACGTTGATGGCCTGTTTATTTCTGTGTAGAAGTGATTGGGAGAACAATGCATGAAGGTCTGACATCATGATGTCCATTCGGCAAAGAAGAGAAATAAGAGCCACAGAAGTTTCTGAAGACTTTCCAGCCCAAGAAGAAAATGTGAAGTTGGAAAATAAATTGCCATCTGGTAGGTGATTTAAACTAAAGCAGCGATTTGGGTTGCTTTTATTTCTGCATATTAAAATGTCAGTCTCCAATAGGATAAAAATTTGTTGGGACCTGACAATTAAAACTTGTTCTAGTACCCTGATGTTCTAATTGCAATTTGATTAGATTGATTTTACAGTTATGATTTAACAAAAGATGAAAGAACTTTGATTCGAAGCATTCGTCAGCTGTCTGTTCATTAACTTATGGTTCTTCCAATCTCATCCTTTGACTCTCTAGAGCAGTGGTCCCCCATCCACACCCCAGAGTTTAGTCTATCTCTAATTTTTGTGGTCGTGTATACTGTTCACACCAGGCAGCCTTACCTTGGGTGAGTTTCTCATTTCATGAAAATAGTGAACGGTGGATCAACATTTTTTTAAATCCCTTGTAATTTAGTCAAATACCTGAAGTTTTCTTTTGCTTTTTTTTTTTTTCTTTTATTGGTGGGAAAAATAATCAGAACTCGGTCAGTTGTTTGTATAATGGTAAAGCTTGCTAAGTGATGCATCAGATAGCATTAACTTCTGTCTTCCTGAGTAGGTTTTATAACTAAAGCATGGTCAGGATTTTAAAAGTTAACATGAAAATCTTCATACCCATTAACCATTTTGGATATCTGACAGAATTTACATTATTTACAGCCATGTTAATTCTTACCAGCCAGGCTAGTAAAGCAGTTCAGGGAAACAGTTTAACAAAAGTGATTTGTAATGGGAGGTCATGCCACCTGGCTCAGCCATTAGCAAGTAATCAATGCATTTTGGATAATAGTACTTTCTGAACACCTTAAACACTGCAAAGAAAGAAAAATACACTCCCATCCTGAAACTAACACCAGTGACATTGTCTTGCTGTCTAAATGTCATATTCTGCATATGTATACCCATAGACATTCATATACAGTTTTGCAAAATTGGGATCCACATGCTGTTTTGTAGCTTGCTATTTTTCTCTTATTATGTTATGAACATGTCATAAGCCAGTTAACGTATTTTTGAAATATCCATGTAAAGTATTTTTATAGCTGCCACTGTAGAAGTGAAAGGTTTTCTTACCATTTGCTAATACAGACAGAACTGTGATCAGTGTCCTTGTGGCCATATGTTTGTTTAAAACTTTATTTCCTTGGGGCATATCTTAGTCCATTTCTGTTGCCATAAAGGAATATTTGAGGCTGGGTGATTTATAAAGAAAAGAGGTTTATTTGCCTCAGTGTTCTGCAGACTGTACGGGAGCATGGCACCAGCACTGGCCTCTAGTGAGACCTCAGGAAGCTTCCAATCATGGTGGAAGGCCTAGGGGAGCCAGTGTGTAGAGATCACATGACCAGAGTAGAAGTAATTTCCGGGGAATACAGGGTGTCAGGCTCTTTTTTAACCAACCAGCTCCCCTAGGACTAACAGAATGAGAACTCGAGAACTCAGTACTGCTAGAATCTCACCAGGCCATTTATGAGGGATCTGGTTCCATCACCACACCACCTCCCATTAGGCCCCATCTCCAACATTGGGAATCATATTTCATCATGAGATTTGGAGGGCCAAATAGTCAAACCATAGCAGGGTACATGCCTAGATTTGGAATTACTGGCCAAATGGGATGCTCATTTTTGTGGCTTTTACTCACTGCTGCCATGTTGCATTCCAGAGAGGCACCAATTTATTCTTCTAGCAGCAGTGTTTGAAGATGTCTATTTTTTATACCCTTACCAAAACAGAGTATTCGCATTTTGAAAGCTGTCAAATTGGCCAAGATTTTTAGAAGTATAACTCACAGTTTTGATTTGCAGTTCTTTAACATTAATGAATTTGAACATCTTCAGTCTGTTATTATTGGCCACTTTTTTCTATTGTACATTGCCTGTTCATGTCCTTTATCTTTTTCCTACTGCAGTATTCATCTTGACAGGACAATAAATTGTCCTGAAATAAAATAAATTGTCCTGAAAGTATTCATCTTATATTAAGGGTATTTAAGCTTTCTTGTATGTGGTATCCATATTTTTCCTAGTTTATATATCCTTTAACTTGAGTTATGTTGGATTATTTATTCTGTGGGTTTTTTCCCGCCAGAGCATTCCTGCAAAACCTGTGGGTTTTAAAAAAAGTTTTAGGTAATCGGCCAGGCGCAGTGGCTCTTGCCTATAATCCCAGCACTTCGGGAGCCCAAGGCGGGTGGATCACTTGAAGTCAGGAGTTCAAGACCAGCCTGGCCAACATGGTGAAACCCTGTATCTACTAAAAATACAAAAATTAGCCAGGCATAGTGGTGTGTGCCTGTAGTCCCAGCTACTCAGGAGACTGAGGTGGGAGAATTGCTTGAACCTAGGAGGCAGAGGTTGTAGTGAACCGAGATTGCTGATTGCTCCACTGCATTCCATCTTGGGCAACAGAGCAAGATCCTGTCTCAAAAAAAAAAAAAAAAAATTTTTTTTAGGTAATTAAGTTTTTAAAATAGCTTTTAAAGAATAAACCACCGGTTGTACCTAGATCATCTAAAAGATTGATTGCGTCCTAGGCATGTAACACATTTAGTCATCCGTTTAACAGACTTCATAGTTAAATTATGGTGGTTAAAGTGTGCCAGACAGAGGTCCTCAGTATTAAAAATGAATAAGATATTTGTCTTCAAGAAGCTCACACTGTAGTTGGCAGAACGGACACATGAACAGTTGGATATGGGGCAAAAGTTGTAATAGAATAAAACAGGTCTGTGGAATCAGAAAGGACCCTCTGTTGGAGACAGGAAAAGCTTTCCCAGTGACAGGCAGCTAGACTTAGCTTACTTGGTAATCAAAGTAGAACTATTACATTCTAATTTTTTTGCTAACTTAGTTATTTATCTGTTCCATTTTTCCAAAAGGTTGTACCAGTAGAAGATTATGGAAGATTTTGTCATTGACAATTGGTGGAACCATTGCCCTTTGCATTGGACTTCTGACGTCTGTCTACCTTGCCACATTACATGAAAATGATTTATGGTTTTCTAATATTAAGGTATGGAGTTTCTTTGACCATTGTATGATTCACTCAGTGGGGTCTCCAATAGTAAGCCATGTGGATGAATGACCAAGGCAACACAGTTTTGCCATAAAGAATCCAATCTCTAGAAAGGTTGAACTATAGAGTGAAAAGATTTTTGTGTTTATTATTTTAAAATAACATATCAGAATCTTTTAAAAAATATTTATTTATTTTTTTGAGATGGAGTCTCACTCTGTCACCCAGGCTGGAGTGCAGTGACACAATCTTGGCTCACTGCAACCTCTGCCTCCCAGGTTCAGGTGATTCTTTTGGCTTAGCCTCCCGAGTAGCTGGGACTATAGGTGTGCGTCACCACACCCAGCTAATTTTTGTATTTTTACTAGAGACGGGGTTTCACCATGTTGGCCAGGCTGGTCTCGAACTCCTGACCTTGTGATCCGCCTGCCTCTGCTTCCCAGCATGCTGGGATTACAGATATGAGCCACCACGCCCAACCAGAATCTTTATTTTTAATTTTTTGAGATAGGTTATTGCTTTGTCACCCAGGCTAGACTGCAGTGGTGCAAACATGGCTCACTGCAGCCTGAGCCTCCTGGGCTCAAGCGAGTATCCTGCCATTGCTTCCTGTGTCGCTGGGACCACAGGCATGTACCACCTCGCCAAGCTAATTTTTTTATTTTTTTGTAGAGACAGGGTCTCACTTTGTTGCCCATGCTGGTCTCAAACTCCTGGGCTCAAGTGATCCTACTGCCTTGGTATTCCAAAATATGAGAATGAGCGACAGCACCCAGCCCAGGATTTTTCTAATCAAATGAGTTTTTTCTTTTTCATTAAATTATTCCATTTATTTAGCAGTTATTCTAAATTAGTATTTTTCAAGTTATAGATTGTGAAATTAGTGCAGTAGGTCATGAGTAACATTTTTCTTAATGAAATCAAAAAGAAGAGAATACTATCACATCTAGTAGAGTTGAGGATTGTTTTGTGAAACTTTTAATTGTGTATATATATATGTGTGCACAAACTGGGTCACAGTATATAAGGTACTTCTCTTTTTTTTCTTGTTGGCTACAACAGGAAAAAAACAAACCAACCAACAAACAAACAAAAAAACGAAAAAGAAATCAGAAAGCCACTGCTTTAAATCATGAGCTCCACAGAGGGTCCTCAGCATGTTCATGCCTATCTAATACTTTGTGCAAGTGGTTTTGCAGGGCATAGGGCGATGGGGAACCTATGATATTTCCAGGGAAAGGAGCAGTAATTTTAATCCAATTTGCAAGGGGGTCAGCCGGGCATCACGCCTGTAATATCAGCACTTTGGGAGGTTGAGGTGGGTGGATCACTTGAAGTCAGGAGTTCAAGACCAGCCTGGCCACATGGTGAAACCCCATCTTTACTAATGAGCCAGGCATGATGACATGCACCTGTAATCTCAGCTACTCGGGAGGCTGAGGCACAAGAATCACTTGAACTCGAGAGGAAGAGGTTGCGGTGAGCCGAGGTCACACCACTGCACTCCAACCTGGGCAACAGAGTGAAACTCTGTCTCAAAAAAAAAAAAAAAAAAAAAGTTGGGAGGGTGGTCTGTGACTCTTTAAACACGTTTCCTTGTTTTCTTTCTCTCTCTCTTTTTCAGCATTTCTAGAACTCCTCTTGGCATTGTTTTCAGAACTCATATATAACTTACATGTGGAAATTTACATCCAAATATACCTTATTTTTAAATCTAATATGTCATGCTCTTAAACTGTGGTGTCTGATGATTAGTTGCTTGTAAAGGTAAACAAACACCATCAAAGCCAAAGATGTATATCTGTAAGAAAGTTCAAAAGAAGTGACTGATGTAGGATCTAAAGACATTTTCCAAAGAAAGTTTTCCAAAACATTTTGGGCTTTGGTTCTCTTACTGGAATGAGCCTCCAAAGGAGATTGCTTTGATGAGAAATCTAGTTCATAAGAATAACTTCTAGTGTGTTTATTTTTAAACCTGCTGTGTTACTTTATGGGAACAGTATATATATCTTTATACAAATTATCATAGTACCAAAGAATAATTCTTATCCTTCAGTGACAGTAGGTAGGTCTTCTTGTCAGAAGAATTTTACCCGTTTATCTATCTTTTTTTGGGAGGAGCTGGGGCGGACAGGGTCTTTCTTTGTCACCCAGGCTGGAGTGCAGTGGCGCAATCACAGCTCGCTGCAGCCCCAGCCTCCTGGGCTGAAGCATTACTGTCACCTCAGCCTCCCAAGTAACTGGTGCACGTCACTATTCCCAGCTAATTATTTAATTTTTTGTAGAGATAGGCCTACTGTGTTGCCCAGGCTGTTCTCAAACTCCTGGACTCAAGCAATCCTCCTGCGTTGGCCTCCCAACGTGTTGGGATTGCAGGTGTGAGCCACTATGCCCTGCCTATCTCTTTAAAATGGAATGCTGGCAGGGCTTGGTGGATCACTTGAGGTCAGGAGTTTGAGACCAGCCTGGCCAACATGGTGAAACACTGTCTCTACTAAAAATGCAAAAGAAATTAGCCAGGCATGGTGGCGCATGCCTGTATTTCCAGCTACTCAGGAGGCTGAGGCAGGAGAATTGCTTGAACCCAGGAGGCAGAGGTTGCAGTGAACTGAGATCGTGCCACTGCACTCCAGCCTGGGTGACAGAGCAAGACTTCATCTAAAAAAAAAAGTGCTTATAAAGCGATTACCTCGAATTAAACCATGTAGTGCTTATATATTAACATAAGTATTTTGAAAAAAGACTGAAATATCCCTGTGTGAGCAGATAGCTCAAATTAAATGCTAACAACAGTGTAGCAAGGAGACATGTTGAAAGAGATCATATAACTTAATTATAAACTATTAAGTGTAGCTCTTTAATGTAAAACTTGTAACTAGCCTTGCTGGTTTCCTTAAATAAATATACCCCATCATCAAGCAATTTGAACACCCTTGGTTTTTCTCTCTTTACTTTCACTGGGTTAAGGAAGTTCTAGTTTCACCTAGCATTTACTGAGCTCCTGTTCCATGGGTAACATTGAGTTAAACACTGTGGAGAACTTGGAAGGAATAACACAGATTTCTGAATTTGCCAGCAGATTTTCCAGTATAGTAAATGAATTGAGTAAGTATATATTAAGCACCTACAGTATGCCAGCAGGCACTGTGCTTAGTGGTAGCAGTATCACTGAATAAGACAAGGCCGTGCCCCCAAGGAACTTACACTCTTGAGAAGGAAACAGGTGAGTATCCAGACAATTACAGGACATCCACACTCAGTGCTAGGATGGGGTGAGATAGAGAGCACTGTGGGAGCACATAGGAGGGGGAGCCTAACCTCATTTTGGAAGATCAGGGAAGCTTTTCTAGAGGAAATGATGGTTAAATAGACCTGAAGGAGGAGTAAGAGTTAACCAGGCAAGCTGGGGAGGAAAGATGAGTGTCCTAGAAGAGGGACAAGTGCAGGAAATTGAAGAGGCAAGAGAGCCTGGTATGTGAAGCATTGGCAGTAGTTCAGCCTGGCTAGAGAGTAGAAGGGGAGAAGGGATGTACTGGGAATGGTAAACAGAGGCCAGATAATAAAGGGTCTGTCTTCTCTGTCTCAAAGATAGAACTCTCTCTGAATGTATTATAGTAGTGAGCCATATTTTTAGTGAGGCAGCGATATCATCGTATTGGTGTTTCAGAAAGTTGCCTCAGGCTATGATGTGGAAAATGGATTTGGGGAGAGCAAAACTAAAGTCAGGAAACTGCTAAGATAATCCAATTCAGCGGATTCAGTAATATTTATCGCATTCACATATTCAGTAAGTGAATATCTTCTGTGTGCCAGACAGTTTTCTAGGCCTTGGGAATAAAACATTGAATACGACATAGAACTTAATTAGGATGAAAAGGGGAAAAATCAGAAAGAAAATGAAAATGAATCCTGTGGTGAAAGTCACACGGGATGATGAGATAGTCACTAGAAGGCTGCTTGGAATAGGAAAGTGAAGCAGACCACTTTGAGGACATGTAAACCAAAACCTACATGATATTATAGAAGGAACCAGCCAAGCTAAGGTCTGCGAGAACGTTCTAGGCAGAGGAAACAGCAAGCCAAAAGTCTATAAGGTAGGAATGAACTTGGCAAATCCAGGATCAGAGAGAAGGTGCATGTGGCCAGAATTTTATGAGCAATGAGGAGAAGGTACAAGAGAGGAGAAGAACAGATCACGTAGGGCTTTGAGGCTGCAGAAGAGTTGCAGAGACGTGAACTGAAGTCAGAGCTTTTTAGGAAGTGGACTTGGAGGGATGTCTTGATTCATTGTGTAGAAGTTCGTTGAGAGGGAACAGTTGAGAGGCTGTCGGTCCAAGCTGCCTGGTTTGCTTAGCAGCGGGGTGGATGGATGGACATGCCATTTACTGTGACAGTGAGCACCGAGAGGAGCAGAGCTGGAGGGTCTGAGTTCTGATAGCTACCCACCATTAGGCCAAACTTCACAGGATGAGGGCACAGCTCTCTACAAAAATGCCTTCGTTTCACACACCAGTGCAAGTTTGGGCCCCCCCACCCCCAGACAACCCTCACTTCTGACCAGCTGGCTACAAATTCTGAGGTTCCCACCACCCGCTCAGGTTCAACAGTTCACTGGAACAACTCACAGAATTCAGGAAAGTGCTGTATTATGACTACAGATTTGTTATAGCAAAAGATTACAAATCAGAACCAGCCAAAGGGAGTGACATATGCAGCCAAGTCTTCGAGGGTCCCTTTGGAAGCTTTCATTATCTTTTCCCCATGGAGTCAGGCCCATTACCCTCCTGGCACATCAGTGTGTTACACTGCGTGGAGCCAACCAAAGAAGCTCCCCTGAGTTCCGGTGTCTAGTTTTTATTGAGGTTTCATTATGTGGGCACGATTGATTGAATTGTTGCCCACAAGGCTGGACACAATCTCCAGCCCTTTTCTTCTTAGAGGTTGGGCTGCTAGCACATGGCTCAAAGCCCTGACTCTCAGGCCACATGGTTGAGTGT